TTTGGTTGTGTTGAAGAGAAGGAAGCGGTCAGGTTTAGGGAGGCTGCTGGGTTCACGGTTAGCTTTAGGATTGTGGGTGAGCTTAAGAATAAAAAGCAGGGAAGAGGACGATGTGGAGATGGATGGTTAGGATTAGGGTTCAGGTAAGTGGGAAGTTGTTGTTTCTTTGTGTACAGGTGAGGTGGAGACCCTGACCCTCCTCCCCTGTGAGAGCAAAGAAAAGAATGAAATGATGCAGGTAAGTTTCTCTAACAGGTGAGTACAACAAGAAATAAATGAATTCATGAATGTCGTTAAATCATCAAAGTTCACACGGTAAAAGAGGACAGCGTTAAATCACATGCAGCTTAGTGTTCAAAGTGTTCATGGGGTAGTAATAAATCAATAAAACAAGTGCTCTATGTGTCCTCCCTGTGGTGACAAACGTCCTGATTGGTGGAGCTGGTTTGCTGACTCTGATATATACAGGTGAGTGGGAGGTGGATACGTTACAGACGCTGATGCTGTTGTATCCTGTGCTGTGAGGTTTCTCCTGGAGCGTGACGATGGAGTTGTTGTGGAGGCTGGAGGCTTTCTGGATCCTCTGTGTCGGAGCCATGAATGGAAGTTGATGGTGTGTTTGGTTTCATGGTTGTTTACTGCTTTGTTTATTGTTTACTTCTTGTTACAGGTGGGACATGTCGTGGTGATGTCAGTGATTATATGAGCCGCACTCACCTGTTCACCTGGTTTAGTCTCAGATGGAGAGAGGGGCTGAGCGTGGGAGCAGAACATTTCTGTTGAGCGCCACACTACACTGCACTGCCATCACAAGTTGATTTTACCACCCGGTAACTGCAGTTGTAGTTTCTTGTGTTTTGTAGAATAAATGACTAAAGCATCTTGGATCTGGAAGTCATTCATAACGACGTCACAGCTTCACTCCCGTCTTTAGTCCCTCGCTGCACTCTTTTCTTTGACGACCTGCAAAGGCCGATATAGACGCAATACTCTGTGTGTCCTGATCAAGCTTTAAATAAAGTGCTGAGATCATGCTGTCAATAAATAAAGGAAAGTAAAAGACACACAAAACAACATGCACAAAGTCATCCATTCATTAAAACAAGATGAAAACATTTCAAACGAGTTTTTGTTTGATCTAAAACTCCATAGATGTGAAACAATCCCTCTCACTGTCCTTCCACCTTTTCGACACCAGGTGGCAGCATTGCACCGTGGATAAAAGCAGGTAGGGGGAAACCGTGTTGTTGGTGCACCAGCAGGTGGCGGTATTCGTCTTCTGAGCAGGAGATGGCGGCCTGAATCAAAGTTTTTCATTTGGGCCGTTTGGTTTCTTTCTTTTCAATCATTTGATGAACGTGGTTTCCATTCTGAGGCGTTGACTTCTGGACCAGTTTGTGTTGCTTTTGATGCCTTCTGTTTTCAGATGGTCTGCTCCACGTCTTCTGAAGTGCATGTAAACGGCCGGATTTTCTTTGCCTTTGTTTCTTTGGTAGATTTGTGGTCTCAATCTGTATTTCAGCTGCTTGTTTGTTTCTCCCACATACATGATATTACAGGTTGAACATGTTACTGCATAGGGTTAGAGTTAGGGTTACACACGGGATTCAAAATGTCTTTAATCACCACTAACTTTTGAAATGTAGCGATTAATGGAGATTCAAAATGTTGCTGGTTGGACAGCCCTCACATAAATATAAAATGCTGAATTATGAATAAATAATGAAACATCTTTTCAGACTGGTGGTCTCCTGCCGTTCATCATCATCAGGACAAACTAACGTTACTCTGTAGTTCATCTTTATTAGGAGGAGAATATGTGACCTTTAAACACAACCTTCAGTTTCTGTTTGAAGCCTTAAATGTAGATTCAGGATATTTAGAGCGAGGAGTCTCAGGAAACGTGGGATTAAAACTCTGAAACATTCTGAATAAACTTCCTCCTGTCTCATCAGATCAGCTTTAGAGTTGAAACTATGAAAAGATCTCACCGTTGATGTGAACGTAGGTCTCTGCCTCAGTGTGGTGTTTGATCTGGTCCTGTGTGACCACACAGCTGTAGTGGTCGGTCTTGGTCACAGTGGTTTGGAGGATGATGTCGTAGCTGCCTCCTCTTTCTGTGACCTGTGCTTCTTTAGCATGAAGGATGTTTCCAGAACTGTCCCTCCACTCCACTTTAGGTCGAGGAGAAGCTCCTCTGACTAAACACTGCAGCAACGCCCAGTCTTCACTTTCCTCGAGTCTTTCAATAATCGGCTCTGAAGCTGCTCCTAAAAACAGAGTAAACAGTCAGTGAACGCCAATCACAGCAGTACAAACATAACAACACAAGTTATACGCACACCTCCCAGAACTGTTTACATAACATTTAACTGCTTAACGGTCTCTTAGATTATAGAGTTAGATCAGTGCACACACAAATATTTATTGTTTTATATATATGTAATAGAAATCCACAAATCTGTATCTCGTTACATTTATATACAAACTATTCATCTTTTGATGAAGATTGGTGACGTGCGGCTCTGAAGCTGCTCCTGTGGACACGGAGGAAACAAAGGTTCATGGAAAGAAGATTTCACATCCCTTCATGTATCTCCACTTCTCTTCTTTTATATTCCTCTACTGTACACGCCTTAGTTTATCTCAGCCTGTCACATGCTAAGTCCCGCCTCCTGGGAATGGCTGTAGGCCAAAACAGCTGTCAATCACTCCCTCCCAGCAGACGTGGGTTGTGTCTCCGTTGATCAGAAGCCGTTCAGGACGACGAGTGAGCCGTCTCTAAGTTGAGGTTAAAGGTCATGTAGCCCTTCATGATTGGACAGTGAGAATGTGTGAGCGTCCATGGAGATGTAAGCGCTCTTTTCATCTCATACGGCTCTAAAGTGGAACATATGTGATGTGATTCTTGTTGGTTTTTCTGCTGCTATTGATATAAAAACATCTGAATACTACTAATATCATTTACTCTTATTTCTAATGTTAGTTATATGTCTACATCGGGGGCGGCTGTGGGTCAGTGGGCGAGTCGGTCGTCTCTCAACTGGAAGGTCGGGGGTTCGATCCCCAGCTCCTGCAGCCACATGTCCCATGTGTCCTCGGGCGAGACGCTTAACCTCAAGTTGCTCCCTCTGCTTCGTCGGCGGCGTGTGAATGTGTCTGAATGGATGAGTTAATCCTCTTTACCCAGCAGCCTCAGTATGACATCATCAGGTGTGACATCACCTGGAGCTCTGACCTCAGTCACAAACATACGATCACATCGACACATTTCAAACAAAGTGGACACAAACTGAACTTTAGAAAGTCGCTGGAGGTAGAGTTGATGTCTTTCCTGTCGTGTTGAATCGTGTTCCATCGTGTTCCTCGTCTCTTCTGTGACGCTGATCTGATACGGCGAGCTGCACGTGGAGGAACACGGACGCTGTGCGCTTTTAAAGAAAGTAGTCCCCGAGGAAAAGGCGGTCTGATGGAGAGGTGTAAATATTGACAAACACAGCGGACACTCAGGTTTCTGTGTTTTTCTTGAAGGTGGGACTTTTAGTGAAGCTGCTCGAGTATGTTTTCATCTCCTGCAGGTAACACGCCGTGTGGTCATAAGAAGGTCAAACGAGCACACGGTCAAACTGTGTACTGTCCCTTTAAGGCCTTTAGTGACCTCCATGGATCAAATGATTAAAGGGACGATCAGTGCATGTGTTTGGAGCTAAAGGAGGCTCCTAGTTATACTCTGTTTTAATGATCATGTCGGCCTCAGTAGATTCAGCTCGGACATGTTTCACATTATTAACACGTCGTCTCTTCTCACTCACTGAAACGTCTCCGATTCCTGTGACGGCACGCCGCTCCTTACAAATGTGTGTGTGTGTGTTTCTGAATGTGTGTGTGTGTTTCTGAATGTGTGTGTGTGTTTGTGTGTGAAATCTTTCCTCCATCATAACTAACGACTGACTCGTTTCAGAGCACTGATTCAGTCTGAAGTCACGTCTGAGTGCAGCTCTCAGTCAGGAGCTCTTTGGTGAGCAGGTAACATCTGCAGCAGCGTCCAATCAGAGAGCAGCAACACGGTAACCATGGAGATGAATCCAGCAGGACCAGCTGCAGTAAAAACTGTCAAGTAAATAAGTTTGAGTTGAAGGTGTGAAACATTAAAGTGAGCTCCTGATCCTGTGTGAAGGAGCAGCAGGTGTTGTTTAGTTTTGCTCTTTTAGATTCATGTCTGCAGGAATGTTTTAGTTTGAAGATAAAAAGAGTTCATGATGTTCACACAGAGACCAGATATGATGACCTACACACAGAAACACATCATGAAGAGTTAGAATTAACACCTGAATGTATTTTTAGTCATAAACTATTCAGTAAATAATCTTCCTCACTTCATTTCGATTCTTTTTGAATTATTTCTGACCTCCTCTTCGCTCTGGTCATTTCTTTTGTTTTCTGAACTAAATAGTTTCTTCAGTTTGTTCCATCAGCTGCTCAGTTAAACCTGGTGGTTAGTGTGAGGTGATCATTTCAACAACAAGCTCAAACGTCTTTAAGAACTCGTCTTTGTGTTGTGAACACTTTTAATGTAGAGATGCAGAATTCAACTTTTTTTAATGGTACGGTAGTTCAGGGTGAACTGTGGGTAAGATGGAGTGTAGGAGCCATAATGTGTGTTTTTACCTCAGTTGATTATTTGTTATGTTTTGCTCCTTATATGGGTTTCTTATTATTTCTGGTAATTAGCAGTGGGCGTGGTTTACTTTATTTTTACCTGTGCATTTGGGGTGGCGGGAGGCTAGACAAAGGGGGTGAGTGAGTCATCGTCATCATCACCTAAATCATCATTTTTGGACCTTTTCTTTACAAATACTGTTTTCCCTTTTTGTTTTAATAAATCTACAAAGATATCTGGACTTTTGGACTTCTTTATATTTTCACACACTTAGTTTCTGTGCAGCATTTTTCTATCTTCAGCCGCCACAGAGAGTTTGTGTTTTTAAAAGATTTTAATTTAGTGATGCAGAAATTAATTGAAATGTTTTTTTACTCATGAGGGAAAAGTTTGGCAAACATCTAAAGCTACACAGGAGGGAGCAGACGTGTTGGTTAGAGGTGCAACAAGAGGTAGAAAAGAAGAAGAACCAGCAGGAGGCGTTTTGGATCCATAACTTTCAGACTACTGAACACCCGGTCTAAACGAGGACGTTCATTTTTCTGTCTTTTTGTCAAAGATTGTTGAGTTTTAATGTAAAGTCCAGTGAACACTGAACGACTAAAAGAATTCATGAGCTCATACTGTACAGTGTTCAGCATCACAAGTGTCAATAAGAAAAAGTCCCACAGACGGAGGTTGAAGTCTGATCGATGTGTATTTCAGTCGGCTCTAATACACACCAGGAAAAACGTTCTCTCTCTCTCTCACAGCATCCCAAATAAACACAAAGTGACTGACAGCTCAATCAGAACTGATTCTCCCCGTCAGCTGGAGCTCTGCAGATGTTTCCTGCTGATGGTTCTTTCATGATCGGAGTGTGGAGACAGATTAAACAGTCATGCCTGCTGTTGCCATGGTGATTTTAGACGCTGTCTGTCAGTTTGTGAACAATCAGGAAAGAAGTCCCTGAAGTGGGAGAATCAGCTGGTGGCTCTGCGCTCACCGTGCAAAGTGTGTGCAGTCGTACGACCAAAACAATCACACATGAACAAATGATCCGAGCAGCAGGGAGCAGCTGATCGGGCCGTGACCATCACGCCTCAGTGTACACTGCTCCACTAACGGCGTGCTATCGGGCTGAAATGCGGCCTGACTTCAAATCAGTCGTACGACTCAAAAGTCAGGTCTAAGTCGTCCTGAAATCGTCCGGTGCACGGCCGGCTTACTGTAAGAGTTGGGTTTGAATCTCCTGTAAACGTTGTTTTGATTTGTTTTTGTTGTGTTTCCTGTTTGTGGTCAATATTTACATTTTCATCATATTATGTATAAATGTAAACATCTGCTCCACCTAGTACAACTTTATCTCTGTTTGACTTCCTGATGAAGGACTGATGAGTTCTTGTTTTTTTAAGGTCTACATGATGCCAAGTAAATAAAGACATTTTCATTGTTTAAAAAGCGAGAGCCTCGGCTGCACAAAACTTCTCACTGTTCATTTTTCCTGTTTTCAAAATGTCTTGTAATAAATGTTCACAGAGCAAACGTAACTCTGAGGATCTGAATGGATAGAACGTAAAGTGTTTGTAATATTTGGGGATAAACATAACTGTTAATATGAAATGATAACTGACGAGCCTGCTCCTGAAATGTGTGAACTCAACATGAAGCTGTTTTCTAATCCTGAACATTTCACTGTTATCACAAACACGTCCACACTGACATCACTGAGCTACAACAAGAGAAACACTGACTCTGTACGTCTGGAACTGATCTCAAAGTCAACCTTCACACTCTTCTTCTTCTCTCTGTCCAGTCATCAAGTTAGTCCGTTCAGAGAGTCACTGAAAGTCTGAATTTCTTAAACTCACTTTGAATAAAGTTTCACTTGTGAAGTATCCAAACACGTTTCACATTCAGTCAGAACTCATTTACATTTAAAACAAAGAATGAACGCACAGAAAAACAGAAAGTAGAACAAGAAACATCTCACCGTTGATGTGAACGTAGGTCTCTGCCTCAGTGTGGTGTTTGATCTGGTCCTGTGTGACCACACAGCTGTAGTGGTCGGTCTTGGTCACAGTGGTTTGGAGGATGATGTCGTAGCTGCCTCCTCTTTCTGTGACCTGTGCTTCTTTAGCATGAAGGATGTTTCCAGAACTGTCCCTCCACTCCACTTTAGGTCGAGGAGAAGCTCCTCTGACTAAACACTGCAGCAGAGACCAGTCCTTTGATTCATCGAGGATGGTGACAGACGGCTCTGGAGCAGCACCTGTGAACACAGAGTAATTGAACAATAGATGACCTATCAGCAATGAAGGACAAATACATAATTACAGATGTAACACTGGTAAGCTGTCTTGTGCATCTCTCCTCTTCTTGTTTATAACAAATCCTGAGTACACGAGGATGAAAACATTAAAAACAAAGAACACGATTTAAAGAAAATAACTGGCTCTGGTTGAACATCCAAGATTTGTTTGTTGGATGTCAAACACTTTTCACTTGTACCAAAAGTTTGGAAATCATCTTTACTATCTCTAACTAGAACCAGGACAGAAGCACAGATACTCTGCAGCCATGTGGGAAACACCTGGATCAGTGTGAGAGCTCTGTCACATCCATGTTCAAAGTTACTTTCAATATTTGGCCTTTGGCTTTTTTCATGACAGACACTGAGGGGACAGGAATTTAAAATATGCTTGCACACAGCTTTCAAGCCTGATGTGAAGAAGTTGGAGTCAGAGGGGAAATGTAATGTCTCCCATTAACATCATGTGAGTATCTCAGCCTTGTGATTTTATTTGTATGTTCATGGTTTATTCCCCAGAGATCCTTTATATTCTGGGGGCCACATGAGAAGCTTTGGGGGACCGTATGTGGCCCGCGGGGCGCCAGTTGATAATCACTTTTATGGAGCATTATACTTTGTAATGAAAGAATGGACCTAGGTAAGCCTGCTTGAGATTTAAAGAAGGAATAGGTGTAAAAAAACAGATTTAGTCAGGAAAGCAGCAAATGGACCTTTTGGTAGAAAACAGCTGATCATAAACAGCAGATTTATTTGAGTATATTTCATGTTTGTAAGTTCATTGAGCCTTTAAGGACAGAGATTTAAAGTGAACTGGTTTCCATGGAGACCAGTCACCTGTATGACTGGCAGGTAGGATGTATTAACACATGCAGGAGTGATTTAAGAAGTGGAAGTCCAAAGTAGAGGAAATGAGTATTTGTAGTCCCTGTAGTTGTTAAGATGGTATATCAGAGTTTATATTTCAGAATCATTCTATCAAATCTAAATAAAGCTAAAGCTTTGAAACATCATCACTCTACAGTTATTCTTTAAACAACATTACAAACACAATGAGTACACTGCTCTCTGGTTCTCAGCTTCTTCAACACACTTAGACCTGTCAGCAGGATCTGGACTCACCTTGGATTTTTTCAGGTGTTCTGTCCTTTAATCTTTTAGCGCGTGGAGGATGCATACGACCCGGAAATAAGTTGCAAAGTGAATGAACAAACAAACGACATGAATTATGGAATTAGGTGAATATGTCTAGAAACAGGATGTGACTAGTTTGACAGCTTACATGTTCCACTTCTCTAACGATTCAAACACTTCAATGTGCGACTCTCCACATGTCAATCATACCGACTTACTTTACGGCAGACAACAGATAGTGACGTACAAACTATTACGTCATACTGCAGGTAAACGTGCATTAACAGATCAAAACACAAAGTTTTATGGACGAACAAGAGAACGTTTTGAAGAGTAAACTCCAGCGAAGAGATCCAGCTCGTTTGACTCAAAGCGGAAGTAGATCAAATGAGGGGAAAGGGACATTTGTGACGCGCGATCATTTTTACAGAAGTTCTAGAAACTTCCGAAACAACGTAAGATAAACACATTTAAAGTATTTACAAAAAGTTTGACAAATAATTGTCAGTTTCTCTGAGATAAGTAAACGCCCAGGAACAGGTCAAACCAATCAGTGTCTTTCTGTGACTCCTGAAAAAAAACCTGTCGGACTTTTAACTCCATCAGCCAATCAGAGGACAGCATCACTCCACCAGCGCTACTTCACTTTGATTGACAGCTACTTCTAACCTATGAGAAGTCAGCACCCTGAAACCCCTCCGAGTCTGTTTCCGGTGAAGTTACCTGTCTGACCATATATGGAAGTTAACGGTTTCTGACTTCCTGTGACAGTTAGTCCCTCTAATAAGAGAGAAAGTTGATTTATCTGATTAAAGAGACATCATTTAGTGATGTAGATAAGTTCATATGTATTTAAATATTAATAAAATGTTTTATATAATTACATTAAACACATTTGGACATTTTGTCAGCGTCATAAAGAGTTTAATTAACTTCTTTCTGTCACTTTGGAGAAGTTTTAGAGAGCTCTGTGGACACCTGCTGGACAAACTCTGTACTGCACTTTGTAAAATATCTCCCAGCCTGTTCAGTGTGTCAACATGAAACTTCACACACACATTAAAGACAAGTGGAAGGACAAGTCCTGAGAGTTTCAGCCTGATGGACGTAATAATGACGGAGTTTTCTGGATCTGGAAGATGAAATTAAATGAAACCAAACAAAGAAAATGTTGATTAGCAGCTGTTTAATTCTTCGTCTGTTCAACTCTTTAACAACCTTAATGAACATGGAGTCACCTGATGAAACCTCAGAGTGTTTGCTTTACAGTCATATAAAGAAGACGTATCAGCTCCTTGTGTTCTCAGAATAATACAGTTTAAAATGTGGAGGTAATACGAGACTAAAATACTCCAAATAACCAACAAACACCAAGAGGTTAAGATAGCACCTGGAAGGTAAAAGACATGAGATGTTAGAGGGACAGATGATCAACTTCACCCTGGAGGAAGAATGTAAATGTGCTGCCTTTATAATGTGTGTAGAGCTGAACTGTGGCTGTGCAGAGTGACATTATGGATCACGTGTTTCATGTCTGATACAAACTGTGTCTCTCCAGATGTGGCTGCAGCTCTGTGGGGATGAACACCTGCCAGATGTTTATTTGAAATCCACCTGGGACTCTTCAAACACGTCTGACTGAACCAGAAAACTCACCAACAACCAGCTCAATGTGGAACATTTGACTCGGCTGCAGACGAGGAAAAAAACAGGTGTAGTTTCCACTGTCGGCCACCTTGGTCTTCCTGATCTTTATGGAGGCGTTACCGTTCTTCAGCTCGTCGTTAAAATGTGAGACTCGACCTTCAAACTGTTTGTCTTGACCTGAAAGGCCGTGAGCGTAATAATCTCCTCCGTCGTACATGAACACCTCCTTGTGATCGTCTTTCTTCCAGTCAAACAGCTTCGTCTCGATGTTCTCCTTGGTGCTGAGGGAACACGGTAACACAGCATCACTGTCTTCTTTCACCACCACTCCACCTGAGACAGAAACACGAGGATGAATCAGTTTGTTTACATGCAGAAAAATAAAGTTAGTTTGTGTGATAATCTAATGTCAGTTTCTGATCATAATAATCTCACTGTTTATCTTTGTGTAGCTAAATGTCATCATGAAATCATTTCCACTGAACTCGGGCGTCTTCACAGTCGTTTACATTTTACTATGTGACACATATTCATCATATTTAACCATCTATCTCATTTATAAACCCTCATGTTGATGTTTCTGTCTCCTCATCCTTTTCTTTACACATTCATCTGATATCAAAGATAAAAAACAAACATGTCACACTTCTGAACAGAGACTAGTGAATGTTTACATCAGTATTCATACGTTTCTTTAGTCAAAGTGTCTCTGAATCAGCCGATTAAACTCTTTGAATCTGAGATTTCTGAGGAGAAGGAGGTGAAACTTCTTTCTCTGCTTCTTCTTTTAGTTTGATTTATTCTGACTCTTATTTCATAATTCATTAAAAACTTCATTAAACTCTGATACTCCCTCACACAGTGGACTCACATCCATGTTGTATTATCTGTAATTGATCATGGTCCATAATATGTGAGTGATGCTGCAGTTTTCTCTCTGCAGGATGGAGGAGACGCCCTCCAACATCTACTCCCAGAGAGACGAGCATCACACTGCGCATGTCTGTTAAACGGCTGTAATGTGATGACGTCACCTGAGCTGTGGAGGTTGATGTTTTAATATTTCTGTATTAATGTCCTTTAGTTTCAAACGGAGCTAAATATCGATGCTAACAGTCTCCGGTGCTAACGTTATCTCCCCTCCGCTGATAAACTTCCTACTTTTCTGTCTCCAGACTTCATGTTTCAACATTTTTTACATTTATTTTTCATCCATTTCAATCTCAAACAGTTCAGAGTAAATATGAGCCGTTACTTTTCTCACCGTTTTCATCAGCAAACGTTATTCCAGACCGAGTCACGACGCAGAGACACACGAGAGGAAGAAGCTTCATAGTTGTTGATCTGAACATTCAACGTGACGTCACTGACGGGCACTTCAGAGGACGCTGCTGTGACGTCACTAACACGATGATCTCCTAGCAACACTTTCGATGATCGTCCTTCAAAATAAAAGTATTATGTCGAAAACACAAACAATAAAAGTCTGAATGAATAAATAAAACCTTCTCACAATACTGTAGCACAATCCCCAACAAATAAGTTTGAACATTTATCAGCTCAATGAACCAAAAGTGATTTTTTTAAGTTTAACTATTTAGAGAGCAGCTAAACGGTCACTGTGTTTCTCTTTTATTTCTGTCTCATATTTTTGTATTAAAGTTACAGCTGAATTATTTTACATTTTAACTGCAGTAGATGTTTTGTTAAATAATTTAAAAAATGTTTAATAATTCTGATGGTTAACTTCAAACAGGAATTCATCATATTCTTTAAATTAAATGTAACACTGTGCCGTTTTATATCTTATTTTATTTTTATTTTACAGGGACATTGCATATTAATAAACATTTCTGTAAATGTGCCAGAGTTAGCCAAAAGGCTAATTTTCATCTGTTGTCCCTGGCCAGATTTTATAAAAGGCTCCCTAAAATTTAAAAAAAAAAATTCAAACATTGCTAAAAGCTACAAAAACAAGTATTAGTAAAAGCACGTATCCAATAACCTACTAAAGTAACTGTAACGTGCACACAACAAAACAACATGTAACACAATATACAATAAACACGTAGAAATTACAAATTACACAAGGCCACATAAAAAACATTGAGTGAGCTATACCTGAAGCTCACCTCAACAGACAACAACACGCAGGACACATTCATTTAAAAAACAGGACACATTCATCAACAACCAGACACAAGGGGGCAGCAGCGAGCGGAACAGGTTTAGTGCTGGCAGATGTGGTTATCAAATAGCCAGTGTTTCAGATGTGAACTAAATGAACGATATGTGTTGCTCTCTCTGATAACTGTTGGGATGTTGTTCCATTCACGTGAGGCTGGAACAGAAAAGGCCGACTGACTAAAAACACACTTCCTTAGAGGAATAATGCAGTCGCCTCTTGAGACACCCCTCCTGAAGTGATGTGTGTTTGTTCATATGCTTACAAACTCTCTGAGTGGGGGAGGGGCCAAACCATGTGAGATTTTATAAAGGAGCATTTTTGTGTTTAATCATGTTCTCCCAGCTCAGGAGGTTGTATTTTCTGAGGATTGAACAGTGGTGGAATTGCTTTGGTTTTTTGTCTAAAACTTTTATTGTCTGTTTATACAAAGACTGTAGTGGTTTTAATGTGGTGGGACTTGCCTGAGACCAGCTTGTCATACAGTAGGTCATATATGAGAAAATCATTGAATGCATGTACATGTTGGCTGCTTCAGTAGACATGGAGTTTCTGATAAATCTGAAGTTGGCAAGGTTAAATTTAATTTGTTTACAGACTTTTTTTTACATGTGCTTTAAAGTTCAGGTTGGAGTCAAGTATAATGCCAAGGTATTTGAATTCTTTTACAATCTGTAGTTTTTCTTCTGACACAAGTATATCTGGATCGGATATCTGGTTTGAGTCATTTGTTTTAGTGAAGAACATACCAACAGTTTCAGACACGTTAAGTTGGAGACAGCACTGATTAAGCCATGCTGTAATTTTGACCATTGCGGTTGTTAGTTTTGAAGCAACTTCTGCTTTTGTTAAACCATGCACATACAAAACTGTATCGTCAGCATACATTTGAATGTTAACCTCAGGACACACAGATGGCAGGTCATTTACATACAAGCAGAATAAAAGTGGGCCCAGTATAGATCCCTGCGGAACGCCCGTGGACAAGCAGAGGGCGTCAGATTGATAATTAAGTATTCACACACTTTGAGAGCGGTTGGAGAGATATGATTCTACCCATTTAAGTGCATCAGCAGAGAAATTAAAGGTGGGTAACTTAGATAGAAGAACCCTGTGATTTACAGTGTCAAATGCTTTTCTGAGCTCCAGAAAGACAGCACCAACAATGCCACGGTTATCTAGCTGTGATTTGATTTTTTTTCAATGAAGAAGCAGTTAGCTGTCTCTGTTGAGTGGTTGGATCTGAATCCAAACTGCATTGGATGCAGGTGATAAGAGCTGTTGTTCAGGTGATGTATAATTTGTTCAGCTGCCCATTTCTCTGCAACTTTAGACATACTAGGAAGAATGCTGATGGGCCTATAATTGCAGGGTGAATGGGGATCACCAGATTTGTACATTGGTGAAATAACGGCAGATTTCCACACCCTTGGGAATTCACCCTGTGATATTGAGAGATTAATGATTTTGGTGATGGGTTTGGCTAATGCTGCACCAAGATCCTTAACCATTGTTGAGTCCATCCCAAAATCATCTTTTGCTTTTGATGGCTTGAGGGATCTAATAATTTCTGTGATCTTTGATTCACTAACATTTATAAAATGGAAAGCTGGCTCTGTTTTGTTTGCCAAGCACAGATTAACCTGCTTAGCAGAGAAGCTCTGTGCAATAGTTGCTACAGAATCGACAAAGTATCGATTAAGAGCTCCAGCTACTTCAGCTGGGTCCTTCGTCAGGTTTCCATTCAGGCTAAGTTCAATTTGTTTTCCTACTTTGGTTTGTTGACCCAGGAGCTTTTTTAACTGACTCCATATTAATTTAGAGTTTCCCCTCGCCTCATTAATTATTGTCATAAAAGAATCAGCCCTAGCCTTCCTCAACCCTGCTATCACCTTATTTCTTAACATGGCAAAATGAATTTGTCGTGGAACAATCTGGTCTTAATGGCCATTTTCAGTGCCAGATCTCGCTCTTTCATCAGTTTTAAAATATCTGCATTTATCCAGGGAAGACTGTTCTTTTTATTCCTATACTTAAACTTACGGGAGAATTCTGTGATGACACTATGCACTTTACTTGAGAATATTTGACTGCCCTCCTGCAAGTTTTTTCCAAGAGCAAATCATTCCAATTGACGCTATTTATAGTGTTTTTAAAACATTCCTGCTTGTTCTTAGGAATTCTAAGAGATTCATTCTCTTTGGCAATTGAGGGGCTAAATCTCATTTTTGTTAATTTTCTGATCACCAGAATAAGATTGTGGTCAGATATCCCAGTGATCATATTGAGAGATTTAGTCATTCTCTCAGGTCTGTTACTAAATACCAAGTCAATCTGAGTTCTGGTGGATTGGGTTATTCTTCTTGGACCCTTGATCAGCTGTGAGAGATCTAAACCATCAGTTATTTGTTTGAGGTTCTTTCTAGTAGCCTTATCTTCCCAATTAACATTAAAATCGCCCATTATTATCACCTCTTTTTTAAAATTGCACTCTACAAGCATGTTTTGGAACTTTTCATAAAATGCATTATTTGCAGAGGGTGGGCGGTAAATTACAATCAGGACAAAAGACATTTGTGGTGACAAAGTGATATTCAAGCCAATACATTCAGCTCACAATTTGACCAAGTTAATTCATTACATTGAATACTATCCTTCACATAAACCATGACCCCGCCTCCCTTTGATGTCACTCTATCTCTTCTGAAGATTTGATAGCCAGGTACCTCTAATGCTGCAGATGGCGAGTTTTCATGCAGCCAAGTCTCTAGAAAACATCCCGTTTGTCGAGCTCCTATGTTGAAACTATCTTAAACTTATATATTTAAATAATTGAATCAACACATAAAGCAACACTTAACCCTTAATCCCACCTGGAAGTTTATAACAGTCTTTTTAGAGTTAATTTACTGTAGTAAAGATCACTATTTTATCTCACTTCCCTTCTTCACCTACCTCAGTTCACTTCCTGGTTTCTCCTTCCCCTTCATTGATTGGTTGTTGTTTGTCCTCTATCAGAATTCACCTGATCACTGCTCATTTAAAGACTGCTCTCGCTCCTCTTCACCTTCACTCTGAAGTTTGAACTATGTGTGTTTATTTCATTTTTGTTTCCCCCTTTATTGAACCTTTGACTTGAATTTAAAGAAATAAACCATAACTGAAGTTCATGCATCCTGACCCGAGGCCCATGGTGATAGTCACCCAATAAATTTGAACCCTTCCTAACATTTACATTTTCATAAAAGCCTACAGCGTGTAGTATTTATTTACACTGCTCACGTTATTCAGTCTGTAAAGTTTCCTCTTGTTATCCTCAAATCAAGTCCGAGGACAAAAGTTAAAGTGTGTGAATTAAACTCTGAGAGCAGCTGCTTTGTTTGTTTCTTGTCAGTAAAAATCACTTCAGTGTTCGACAGTCAGAAGACACAGTTTGACATTTTTCATGTTTTATTCAAACGTTTGTACAGAAATGAAGAAGCTCTGTGTGAAATGACTTGATACCTCCAAGATCATCATCATCATCATCATCATCATCAGTCTACAGCGTGAACAGACATGAACGTTGATGAAGTCAAACCTCTCAGTCAACAACAGGAAACAGTCAGAGTCCAGTTTACACCGGGCTCAAACTAAAGCAGTCTGAATCAACAGTCCTCAAACAGGTTAGGACTTTCTTTGTCACCATGTGGAAAACTGTCTTTGTCTTCACAACAAAGAAAACATGATGACAAACAAGACAACATTTTCTGAGCAGTAAAGTTTGGGGGTATGGGGGGGGGTATGTTTTTTTGACTTTATAAATGTAATAATGGAATCACACTTGGGACCAGTGATTGTTTGTAATCATGGTCTGTGACTCGTGGCAGTCTGAAGCGTCTGAAACCTAAACTGGGAGTGCAGGGGATGAGAGGGGTCGCTGGTTAATAAATCCTGAAGGTTCTAATGTTCACTTCACACAGACTCATCATTATTAATATCAGTAACACAAAAATAAAACCTTCATCACATTATATTTGACTTCAGCTGCAAAATATTCACTCATCATTTATTTTCAGCATAAACTGAAGTTTTATGGTTTTAATTCTACATGTTGGTTATTCTGAACCTTTCAGAGCTACAAGCACTTTGATTATTTATGTTTACAGCAGTTATAAAGCACTTTGATTATTTATATTTACAGCAGTTATAAAACACTTTGATTATTTATGTTTACAGCAGTTATAAAGCACTTTGATTAT